AAGCCTGTGTAATAAACAAAATAAAGGTATTGTGTCCATCTGACCTATATCTCCAGCCTTAATCCCAATTTTAAAATGAGAAAACAGGCCTGATGCAATGTTGCTGCTTAGTAATAGAAGTAGAATTCAAACCTTATCTTCTGTGTTCATGGAATACATGGATATTTTTCTCTGCTACGAGATATAGCTCATACCTCTTTACATTAATCAGTTAAGCATTTATAAACAATCTAGCACCTATCTTGTAAAATCAACACTGTGTGTACTGATAAATATTTTTCAGATTTCAATAAACCAGATAATGTTTACTTGTTAAAAACAATTAACTGGAAATCCCTCCAACCAAGACACCAGGCGGCAATTTTCTTTCTTTGCTGTTGTTGGGTTTTATTTTTGTTTGGTACCAGGGATTGAATACGAGGCCACATCTCCCTTTTTTAAAAATTTTTTTTAAATTTTTTTATTTTGAGATAAGGCCTAACTAAGTTCATTACAGCCTCACTAAGTTGCTAAGGCTGGCCTTGAATTTGCGATCCTCCTGCCTCAGCCTCCCAAGCTGCTAAGATTACAGGCAAGTGCCATCAGACACAGATCAATTTTCTAACTAAAAAGCTATTGGGAATTTTTAATTATATAATACTATCTTGGTACATAAAAACTCCATAAGCTTTGATTCAATGCTTATAGTGTCTTAAATGCCTCACTCTTGCAGAAAGCTGTATGAGATGTTTACTTCAGAGCACCTAAATCAACTGCTGACTTGCTGTAGCCCATGCCCCGCCCCGCCCTGGTTGAATCCGGCTTTGGAAGAGTGTTTGAGAATCACCGCACGGGAGGGAGCAAAGCATTTTCCCAACAGGCCCTTCACTGCCAACCACGGGCCTCTGATACCTTCCCTCTCTTCCAACAACTGGAGACTTCATAAAGAACCATTTATGACTCTTCAGGTTCTTCAGCCACCTACTCACTGTTAGCAGCAAACACTTTCAATATTCAAACTTTTCACAGTATAATATCTAAAGACTATGGGCTAAATGTACATTTGAATAAATGTGCATTTTATGTAATTTTATTACATTTACGAAATCCTGCATATATAATTAATGTTATAACTAAGATTATTAATCAGTTTTAGTTTCATTCCCCCACCCCAAATTTCCAAAATGGACAGCAGAGAAATAGATCTAAAAATTATGTTGTTTATATGTAAGAAACAGAATCCTAAGCATAATTAAAACTTCAATCCTCTAACAGTCAACTCTTTGCTCCATCAAATAACAAAGCTTTCCCAGCCCTAAATTTCTACAAACCTGCTGTAATCAAATCAAAATAATAATGCTCTTATTATTCTCCAAACATATTATTCACCATGAGAGGTCCCTATCCAGCTCCTTTCTAACTCTTCAATGATTAGCCACTAATAATCACTATCACTCCAAATGCATTTATCCACTGTTCCTCTTACGGAGCTATCTTTCTGTGTATCTTTCCATCTCCAAGGTTTTTAAGAGTCACTCCTTTCTATAACCTGGGCCTCGTACAATATATATCCATCATATATTTAAAATACATTTTTAAGGATTAACTTAATTAAAAAGAAATTATTGTACTGTGAAGGGATAATCTGGGGAAACTGAAATAAAAAGCCAAAAGTCCCTTATTTCCTTAAATATTGTCAGATGTTTTGACTTCTATAAATGTCAGTAAGACACCTGTTTGTTACATAACAAAAGGTACCAAGTACAAAGGGATCTGAGCCATGACACTTGGAAGGGAATATTGCCTTAGCACAATACTGTGTTTCTGTACAAACTAAATGATGAAAAACAAGCAAACAAAATGTTTTAAGCACATTAAATAGGTTGTATCCTACTAATTTATTTATTTAATAAATATCTTTTGAGGCTCTACCACATAGAACTGAGTACCAGGAATATAGTAGAAAACAAAGCAAACACTGGCACATGAAGACTCCTGGTTTTCATGGAGCTTTGATTAAAATTTTATTTGAAAATTGCAAACAAGAGAGAGAACAGATAATATGAAAAGTAGTGCTAAGTGTTCAGACAAAGAAAGAAGCATGACAAGAGGGCAGAGAAGGATTGGGAGCTGTTTTAGGTTAGCTGAAAGAGCAATTTCTGAGAAACACACCCCGGGCAGAAGAAAGCTGAAAGGAGGTTAGGGAAAGAGTCATGGAAGTGTCTGAAGGGAGAGAGTCAAGGCAGAAGAAGAATGTTAAAGATGCTGGAGAGAATTTGGCTGGCACAGAAGGGGTGTGGACAAGGTGAGCAGCTGACACCAAACACTCCCTGCACTCAACAAGTACACAAAGTCACACTACACAGCCACTAAACGGCAGTAGTGATGGCAACTGATTACAAAATCTCATCTTCATCAATCCATAGCCCATGAAAAAACTAGGAAAGGTTTCCTCAGATTAAGCTATCACTGAAAAATCTACAAATCAAAGCCAGGATAAGAATTAATTGAGCCCCAGTTCACAGTGAGTTCACAGGTTCAGAAAGGAGACCACCACATGAATGGATCTCACAAGGAAAGGCTGCATGTCAGGCCTGGTACCAACAGAAAGGCCTACTCTGCACAGACCTCTCAGGGACCAGCACAAGAAAGGAGGAACAGGGCCTGTACTTGACGATGACATCATCACATACAGCTAACAGCATCAGCATGGCCCACACTTAGGGCAACAAAAACAGATAAAAAGACTAGGTCAGAAATCTACTTCAAGTCCTCTATTCAAAAACTTCTATTTCACAACAAAACAACATCATAAGCAGTCCCCAAAATATAAATATGGTACTGGGTCTAAATATAACCTAACTGCTTCTGGTGCTGTAGCCCCATGTAAACCCCGCCACTGAGTTGATTCTCACGGGTCTCCCTTGGCCCTTTCAGTGACACTGTGCAAACCAACACTGTTCAAATTCTAAACTCGGGGCATGACTCTGGCCTATATATTACACTCCATGTTAATGCCCTGAGGAAAACACCTCTCTCTTACTTTATTTCTTTCCAATTCCCTTGAGATCACAGAAACAGTCTAAAAATCAAAGGCATGGTTTTTCTCTTGGAATACTCATTTAAATTCTAGTGGTATCAACTCCAATACACTGAAAAAATATTAAGGGACAAGTAAGTCTACATATAACAATCTTTATTTTAATTATATAAATGCTGAGAGATATGGAGTTAAAGAAGGATTCCTCAGAGATTTGCAACTTTAATTTGACTTTAAAGATTTATACCTTATAGAATTAATATTTTAACAAGTAATCCAAAGTGTCTGAAAAGCAGTGGCTGCTAACAACTTAAAAGTCAATCTCCTCTTCAAATGAACCCTGCAAAGTTCATTGCAATGAACTTCTAGGGGTTCATCTAACCTACAGTACTACAGTTGATCCTATTCTCTTAGTAATAAAGTAACATGTATAAATATATGTGTATGTGTGTGTGTGTGTGTGTGTGTATGTATGTCCTTTGGTAATCATTTTTCTTTCAATTTTAATAAAATGACTTAACAGAGTCTCATGAGAAACATTTAAGCTAAGTTTTGACTTACTCTCTGAGTACTAAAATTAGATTTCTCACTATTCACCTGCTAATTCAGCACAAACATGTCAAGGTTAACATGAAAGCTTCATGGCAAGCTTGATGATGTTTAGATGTGACACCATTCCCAGCTTTCATATATTGATATTCCCCTTAAATCATAGGCAGATCTATAATACTGCACTATAGTTATAGTTTAAAGAGTAGCTTGGTTTCACATGGAAACTGTAACCAAGACAAACCTTCTCATAGGATGGAGTTCCAAGACCATTAAATCATAAAAAATTGTTTCAGCAGCTGGTTAAAGCTGAGTGTACATAACACAGGACATCTGGTTGTCTGTGCATTTTCAGTTCATTTAAAAAGTATAAACACATTAAAACACTGAAATGTTTGATAGATTGCAACACCGTTTGCTCTTCAAGAGTGTCTAAGTGGCTATTCACCCACTGTGTTCACACAGCTTATTTCCTACCTAAAGATATTTACAGTTTTCATCCCCCTTAACTTCACCAAAACATTTTATTAATAAAGGCAAAACAACAAAAAAGAATGTAACTATCCAGTAAATATATTAAATCATTGCTATTTGGTAATGAAAAAAAAAATGTTACTAGAGGTGTAAAACTAAATCAGAAGCATCTGAAGCACTCTACATGCTATGATAAGGAAACAGCAGACAATATTTGGGTTCCGCTGCCCTATCAGTGACAGAAATCCAGTCACAATAACATAGACAAACAAGGGTCTACTGTTATCACACTAGAAGTCTGGGATGAGGGAGGGGGACCCTAGTTGACGACTTTGCTTCAGCAGCTCAATAACATCCAAGCAGAATATTCTGTTAAATACTTGGTTCAGGGTGTCAAAATGGCCAGACAACTCAAAAGACCTTGTCCACATTCTTTGACAACAAAAGGGTTGTCAAGAACAAAAAGATACCCCTCCTTCTTAAGTGTTTTACCCAAAAGTGTTATTGGAGGATTTCTCCAGGACTCAACTTCCCCCCTAGCTTCAAAGAAGGCTGGTCACAGAAATCTCTGAAAAGAGGCCAGAAATAAAATCAGGCCAGGATTTAGAATGGCTAACTAGCTGTGTCTATGACATACAAATTTGCTTTTCTCTCAAACTCATTTCCATAGATCTATAAAATCTCTTATTACAGAGATTAATCTAATTCTGTGCCTAACGCTTAATATTGCCAAAAGATTTGATTATTTTCCCTTAATATAAAATTATTATTTTGATGATAGATAATCAAAGTATAAGTACTATTAGGCAAGAGAGATAAAGGAATTCCATGGATGTATAATCCTTAAAAGACACACATAAAAATACTACACCTGGACCTACAAACTCTTTAACATTATCTATTATCATCTTCAATACACAAAGGAGATAAAACAAATCCTGGCTTAGCCAGAACTTACAAGAGTGGAATATCAGTGATTAACTGCATCAAACAGCAGAGCAATTCTTCCAAAAGATCTTCTGAGTCAGAACCTGGCAAGACACAAAAAAAGTTTTTAACAAAGTATATAACAGAATGGATTTGTTTAGAGGTTTTCAGTCCTAATGAAAGAAAGAATAATTATCATTATATACATTCACACACTAATTCTGACCTCTGAATAAAATACAAATCATAAGCAAGTTAGCATCTATGATTATTAATTAATAATAGTTACTAATAATTCATCAGCTATTAATATAGCTTTTAAAGCTGGAAAGTATCTTAAAGGTCCTGTAGGCCAGTAGTTATGCAATTTCTTATTCTGCACTACATTTCTTTTAATGAAATCATATATTAAGGTAAAATACTGTTTGAAGCAAGGGGAGAGTACATGTACCCCATCCTGCCATAAATATCTGACCTTATCTTTGCTCTTCTTGATAAGCCCCAAGGCATCTTTTCCGAACCCTTAGGGTTCCACAGATCAGACTGAATCCCACCAAGAAGCTAATCAAGTCTTTACAGACAAAATGACAAATGAAATGGCTTTCCCAAGTCACAGAATAAATAAGTAACAAAGGTAAGATACAAATTACCATTCCAATAGAACTGCCTTCTATCCCAGACTGCTACTGCTAGGTGACTTTCAAATTTGCAAAGCCAATCAATATCCTACGTGACTTCTGGTTTTGGACATGTTATTCTTTCCTGAGTTCCTGTAACATTTTATTTCCAACCCACTTCTCTTTCTATTTCTTCCCAGTGTCTGCTTCCTCAGACTACCTGCCCTGAGTGCTCCCGCTGGCTGTCTTCTCATTCCCAACATCTCTCACCAATCACTACCCATGTACAAGCGACTCCTATAGTTTTCCTCTTGGCCTCATGTCTGACTGTCATGTTTCTATCCAATTGCCTACTAGCCATCTCCACCTAAAAATCAAACTTACCTCTCCTAACATTTCTTCTTTATTCTCCTTTTTGGCAACTGCATCAGTAGCCAAGGTCTAAACCCAGACTACACTCTCTTACTCATCCTTCTGTAACTCATTCAGTCTGTCACTAAAACAGACTGAATTTGGGAGCACCCTACTGAATTAAGAGGAACTTTCTCAAGTGGGAGTAAGAGCTGAAGAGTTGAACCCCCAAACCAGAAATGGGCCTCTGCCCAGGCCTTTGCAGCACAGCTAACTCAATCTGCATCAGTATTTCCTGTCGTTTTTCCCATTGTGCTTCCTCTTCAGGTCTTCTAAATCTACATAAGTCTATCACTTGGCTTTTGTTTCTATAAATTGTTATGCCTCTGTAAGGCTGGCAGGAGAAATAAGAGAAGCAATTTAGTTGTTTCTCCCTAGTTTGATTAAACTGCATTAAGTTCATTTTTCCCCCTTTCATTTTTTGCCTAGTTCTTATTAGGGCGGGTGGTAAAATCCAGCCAACCAGGACTCAGGCAGGGTCCCTGGGCTGGGTTGATGGTAACCTAACCACCCAGTCTCTGGGTCCTGTCAATTACCTAGTCCACCTCTCTGCCTCTTTCCTTCAGTCCCTCTGTTATGACTCTGTTCATTAGTTCATCATCTCAGTTCAGTTAAACAAGTTTATTAAATTAAAACTCACTCCTGAACATTTCTAACCCTTCGCAGTTCTAATAATTGTACCTCAATTTCAATCCTCTTCAATCTAAACTCCAGATGATAACCAGAGGGAGCTAACTGAATTCCATCCTTTCACCTCCTAGCTTAGATCTTTTCATTACTTTAAGTTGATGACTATATATCAGGAAAAAATTCTGAGATCTAAAGTAAGCATGCCAGTCCTTTCAAGTTATAGACCTGCACCCACTTCTACCTTCTCTCCCTCCATTATCCCTTTCACAGTGTATATTCCAAGCTATCTGCTATATGCCATTTTATACTTTCACAACATTCCCATTTCTTGGAATACTCTCCAACAATAAAAACATGATTTTTTCCTTCTCTTTCTTCCTTGTACTGGGGGTTGAAAACAGAGGCACTTTACCACTAAGCTACATTCCTAGTCCTTTTTTTTTGAGATAGGGTCTCAAAAAATTGCGGAGGCTGGCCTCAAACATGAGATCCTCCTGTCTTGGCCTCCCAAATCACTAGGATTACAGGTGTATGTCATGGCACCGAACTAATGATTGTTTCTTTTCTTTCTTTCTTTTTTTTTTTGTACTGGGGATTGAACCACTGAGCTACCTCCCTCGCCCTTTTTATTTAGAGGCAGGGTTTCACTAAGGTGCTTAGGACCTCACTAAGTTGCTGAGGTTGGCTTTGAACTGGTAATTATCCTCCTCAGCCTCCCAAGACACTGGAATTATAGGCATGTGCCACGATGATCAGCTCCATCTCTTTTATAAAATTCAGTTGCCTAACCATAAATAAAAATAATAATCTATAAAGTATCCATGCCTTAAGCATGACTTTGATTGCACACATATGCACATATGTTTCATCCACTGACTATGGTAAACTATTACTTCCTATCTACAAGCAGGCAGATCCTTATTGGATTCTAGACTTCTTGAGGGCAACAACTGATCAACAGCTTGAACATCACTTGGCCCTCCATGCCATCCCTGAATTCAAACAACTGCAGATTGAAAATATTTGGGGGGTTAAAAAACTGCCCATATTGAACACATATGAACTTTGTTCTTGTCAATATCCCCTAAACAATAAACAACTATTTGCATAGAATTTTCATTGTGTTACATAATAATAATAATAATAATAATAATAATAATAATAATGATAATAATAATAATCTGGAGATGACTTATGGTAAATAGGATGATTATGTAGGGTATATGCAAATACTATACATTTTATATAAAGGTCTTGAACATCTGTGGATTTTGAAATCTATTAGGGGGTGGGCATTCCTGGAACCCATTCCCAAAGATACTGAGGAAAAAACTAATATATACTCAAGACATATTTGCTGAACTGAATCCAGGTGTATTAGTAAAGATTCAGCAGTTGTATCCAAATCATTCAGAGTCTCAAAAAAAAAAATTTTTAGTCTTTTTTTTTCCTAGGCCACAATATTACTTGCTATTTAGAAATTATAGAGAAACTTTCCTGCCTTACCACAAAGAGAACTGGCACAGTAGCCCTTTGATGGGTGAGTACAAATATTGAAGAGAATATTAAACCACACTGAACATACCAATCAATGCTAAAAAGAATACACAGCAAGACTCAAGTTCCCGATTGGACTTTTTATTTCTTGGCTGTAAACATATCTAATTTTTAAGCCTTAAAATAGTGACATGAACTCTCTACCCAGTTGCCATCATGACCACAGCCAAGTTTACAACTAGGTGAAGGAAGGCATATTAAAAGTATTCTTATCAATTTAATATAAAATGATAATTTCACACAAGTAAAAATTTTTAGGGCATTTCAAACCCAATGCCCTAAAAAAGATAAAAATAAACAATTTCCATAAAATTTCAGAAGACTTAAGTTTATTTTTAAAAAAGCTTCAGACTCATTATTAAAATAAATCTTCAGAATTATTATTGTTTGGGGCTAATCCAGAAGTAAGTACTTATGCACTAAGTGAATATTAACAAGGTTTGACTGATTACCTGGTTTGCCATTAAGCAAACCATTCATACTGCCCTGATTTCCAAGAGGTATTTATACACCTTAGCTTTCAATTAAAAACAAATAAATATAAATTCATCTACCAAAAATTACAACAAACTCATAACACTTCTCATAGTAAAGAGAATCTAAAAAGCCTTTCAGGTTAGCAGATCAGTGACAAAGTACACTGAGATTCTTTTAGCACAGAACTCTGCAATGTTCAATGTGTTTACTCCACTGTGAATTTTACTACTTACAATTTTTCTCCTTAAAAGAGACTGTGTCTCTCTTAAGAATTCTTAAAGAGTTTTAAATTGAGGCTAGGATGAAGCTCAGTGGTAAAGTGCTTTCATTGCATACACAAAGCCCTGAGTTTGATCCCAGTTCCAACAGAGAAAAGACAAAAAAATAAGTAAATAAATTGTCTAAATAGCTGTAGTCAAATGTTTTAATATTTTAACTCTTACTTTCTGTGAGCTAGTATAATAGCAAATCTTACTGAGTGCTCTGCCCTTTGAGAGGCACTGTGTGGGAAACTTCACACTGTCTCAAATTGATTCTAACAATAATTCTTAAGGAGTTGATATGATTATAATTATTTTACAGATGAAGAAATCGAGACTCAAAGAGGTCAGTTTACTTAAAGGGTACAGGTCACATCTGTACCCAAATCTAGACTCTCATGGGGGAGAAAAAAAAACTTACAAATTATTCTAAAGCCCTGTTTCTAAAAATAGCAGAGGAAAAAACCTGGTCAACTGAGCCATGTTTCACTCAAAACCCTAAATACAAAATCTCTGATAAGTGAGGACTGAGAGCCAGATTAGGGGAAAGAGATGTGAACTATTAGTTTATGCACCAGCATTGTTTGCTATACATTCAACAAGCACACAGGAAGTCCCAATAATAACCAATCTAAAATAATGAATAAATATTAAAATTATTATGCAGAAAAGCTCAGTAATCTCAGCCCTGTCCCTGGATTTCTTCCACTCTAAAGCCTTAACTCACTTCTCTGGTTCCTATGAGTTTCACAGAGGAAGGAGCAAGGATAGGAGGATTTCTCAGGTCCTTTCCAGCTCGACTAATCTATACCCCAAATTGAGCTACAGCCAATTTATTCCTTTTGTTTGGCACCCACTTGGTACCATGGGTCAAGATATCCCTCGTGTTTTGTCCTTAGGGAAAGAAGCAGAGTAAAATAGTGTCTGAATCAAATGCCTTCTATCAGAGTAAGAGGAGGAAAAAAAAGAAAGATAAAAATAAAACAAAAAAAAAAAACTCATTGATCACTGTTTTTTTTTTAAAAAAAAAGCAATCAAAATAAAGGAAAACATGGGTCAATTAAACCAGGTTACATAGTGTTATTAAAAGAAATGTTAAAAGACCAAGAGCTAACTGTTGTTGTCCTCAAGTTAAAATGCCAATTTCTCAGT